AGACATGGCATACATGGCAGTGAGAATAGCATCAAAGTCTAGAGCCCAAATATCAACACCCCTCTTTTCCAGATCAGCCCAGCGCGGCAGCTCAGCGGCATCAGGAAACTGGGTGCGCCACGCGTCGTTAAGGCGCGCGAAGCAGCGGTGCGTGGGGTGCGGCCTCCCACACTGCTGGCCGCTGCGGTCACCTGTGCGAATGACGTACGTGCAGGTAAAGCCACGCTGCGCATACCACTCACGGGCGGCCTGAAGCGTCGGGGCGGGCTGCTGACTCGGGCCTCCGCCAGTGCCTCCACGACCACCACCGCCACCACCACCGCCTCGGCCACCTCCACCCCTGCCGCCGCCACGACCACCTCCACCTCCGCTGCCGCCTCCACCCCTGCCACCGCTCCCGCCGCTGCTGTCTCCTCCCCCACTGCCGCCACTAGCCTCCCCAGTCGCGCCTCCACTCCCACCGCCTCCACCCCCACCTCCTCCGCCACCACCCCCACCCCTGCCTCCCGAGCGCCGCCGCTGCTCGTGCGCCGCCGCTGCCCCTACGCTCCCGCTGCCAGTGCGCCGCCGCTGCCCGTGCGCCGCTGCCGCCTGTGCGCTTCTGCAGCCGCCGCCCGCGAGGCACTCGCTCTCACAGTTTTTATTTTCTACCTACCGCGCACACTGCTGCCACTGCAGCTACCACCAGTGCGCCGTTGCAGCTCCTGCTGCCACGCTACCTACTACTGCCGCTCGTGTGCCACTACGGACAGTCGACCCCGCCCGCGCCTTACCTAGCGGCCCCGCCGGCCCCGTTGACCCTCCGCACACCTTTCCAGCGGCCTGATTCCTACTACTACTGTTACTACTGCTACTGATCCTGTCACTATGGCTAGTCCTCCCGTTCTAGCTTTCGATGCCGAGGGCCGTCCGGTGAAGTTCGAAACCTGGCTAGATGACCTGCACCTGTTCCTACAGCTCACTGCCAAAGAAGACATCTCGCTGTACGACCACGCCCTAGGCCATGCTACTGCCCCTGACACGTCTGCTGACAGCACTCTACGCTCTCAGTGGCAGACTCGTGATGCGCACGCTCGCTTTGCTATTCGCAACTCCCTGCTGCTAGACGAGCGCGAGCACTTCGGCCAGTGCAAGACTGCTAAGGACCTCTACACCGCTGTAGTTGAGAGTTACTCCTCACCCGCTTCTGCTACGCTAGGCCGCCTCACTCTCCCCTACCTGTTCCCCGACCTAGCCTCCTTTCACACTGTCGCAGACCTCATCACCCACCTTAAGACTAGTGAGGCCCGCTTTCGCGCTGCTATGCCTGCCGAGTTTCTCACTAGCAACCCCCCCCCGCTCTGGATCACTTTCCTGATGCCGCTGAGCTGCCGCGCTGGGCTGATCTGGAAAAGAGGGGTGTTGATATAACGTTTGACAAGATGATCACACTGCGTATGCATTTTGTCAGATATTGGAGGGATTGTGACAGCTGAAATTTTCCTCTAATTAGAGGACGGATTGAGACGTGGACGGCTGAACGACTCATTCGGAACATTTCCGTCGTGTGTGTGCGTTGTGCGTGTGTGTGCGTTGTGCATGTTTGTGCGTGCTTGTGCGTTGTGCGTGTTTGTGCGCGTCCAGATGGCAACACAGTTGGGAGCAGACGCGACTACCACAGAGCTCGTTCTCACATCCAACGTCGAGCTCACGGCGTAAGTTCCCCATCTATCCACGTCTGCACATGTTACGTCTCGCCACGTGTACGTTTGCCACCTCATGCCAGGAACGGCTAACGGCTAAGGTAGTGAAAAGGGAAGTGCGAAAAAAAACCTAAAAGTTACTGTTTCGTAACTTTCCAGTTGCATTTTCCGCGCAAGAAAAAAGTTTGACTCGTAAACAGTGGTAGCGTCAGTAACTTGCGAAGTGACTTTCCCGTCACATTCCCAACACAAACTGTACACTTCGGTGCAATTGTGAGGTATACGGTAATGCAACTATGGGGGTGGAAAACGTCACTCTTGAGCAACCTGTGCGAAAGTGTCACGACAGCGCCACGTGGCATACAATGTACGCTAGATGAAACTGAAACATGCTGACGTGGCAGTTTCTGTACGCTAACGTGAACCGTCGGATCCTGACAATATCAATGCCCGTAATCGTGCCATGTGGACCAATCTGATGCAAAATGGGGTGTGAGGAATCGGATTTCATTGGCTGGCGAAAGCGTCTGTATCCGGTTGACGAATCTCCTATATTGGTGTGCGCTTTTGGTGGTTTAAAACATTTATTATTTCAAACGTTGAGCTTACAAGGCATACAAATGAAAACAGTACTACACTACACATAATGCACGACTAAGAAGCCCTGCAAGCTCTGCCAGTTAGAAAACGAATGGAAATTGAAACTTTAAAAACCAAACTATATGCTCACCATCGGGGTTCTTAGTACTGGAGTATGCTGGAATGGTGAAGAAAAAAAATATGTACTGCACTGCGGGTTGACAGTAAGCCGGCAAAACCAGGCACGCTCTGCAGCACATGCAAACACAGCATAGGAGATGAGTACTCCTGAAAAACGCAAAGTATGCAGTTTCGTACTCACCTTCTTTTAATCGTTGATGGTTTGTAGAGTCAAGTGCTTAAATGGCTAAAAATAAACACACTGCGACGATAAGCTTGCGAAACTAGGTACACTCTGCAAAACATGCAAATACAGGGTGCTGTTATGCATCCCGCTGACGATGCGTCAGCGGGGTTAGTAAAAGCAGAGTTAGACACCAAAAGTCAAATACTTTTAGGAAACGTCACATTGAGACGAATATGAACATGCAGATACATGTAATTTAAGACTGCACAATAAAATAAAATAAGGACAACTTCATTTGCGAGATAACAACTGTAAACTTACCTGCGATGTTGCGTGACAATGTCCTTCCTCGCCGCGACTCACGTGTACCCCAGCAGCCAGCGAAGTTACTGAAGCGCGACGTTGATGGCGGAACGAAGCCGCCGTCTGAGAAGTAGAGGGATGTACAAAAGGGACAGGGATGGTAGGGAAAAAAATAGAATACTTGGCACGCAACCTAGTCAGGGCGTTCTAAAAAGCCACATAGTTGTCGGCTTGAAGGAACTTGGAGCGCGCTCCTGCTGCACATCAAAGGGAACAATGAAGAAGGGGAGGGGAGAACGAAGTTGTTTGTGTGAATGGTGGGAGATGGATTCTCTGGGAGATGGTGAGAGCATATTCGGTGGATGTTTGGTTGGGTGGCTGACGTGTATATTTCGGCGTGTGCGGATTGGGTGAAAATGATTTTTAGCCTCACACGTCACACTTCTGAAGAAGACATCGACCGTCTGAGGTTTGGAGTTGGTTGGTTTGGGTTCAGATTTGGAAAAAGCGAAAGCGGGTTTTTAGCTGTACAAACTCGCTTGGTTTCGTTGCTTCGCATTGTTTCGTTTGTTCTGTTGTTACATTTGTCAAACATTGTCACAGTGCTAAACCGCTTGTAATCTGTGTTGACCGCGCGTCACCGCACGACGCGAAAATGTTGACGGAATGGACACTTTTGCGTGACTGTTTTGTTTCAATCAAAACCCTCGACACTGGTGTGCGGATTGTTGCATTTTGCGTGCGTTGTTTTTTGTACACTTCGCGCAACTAAGTCGCAGGTTTTTCGCAGAAAAACCTTCGGACCCCCCAAATCGCAATTTTCCTTTTCCGCGATGTGCATACATCACGAATGCTACCCATCCCATCAAACAGGCCATATGCTGCATGCGTATTATCATCATTATATGATTGTAATTCAAGCCCACTCTCTCCCACCTCTTGCTTGAGTCAACTAAGGACATTGCTTTTTTCCTACTCCCCTCCCACTCGCTCTTCCCCCTTTCCCCTTCCCCCTTCCTCCCCCTCTTCCTCCCCATCTCCCCCCAACAGCCGCCTCCCCGCACTCTCAGGCGCGGCCAAGCTGACCATCAGGGGCGCGTGCGATCCCAACGGGTAGGTAACAGGGTTACCAGGTGGGTGGTAAGGTTACCAGTTCGTAGCAGGGTCACATATTGGGAATCGGATCAGCAGGTCAGATCGGTGATTGGGATGGGACCATTGTTGCACTCCTCCTCTCTCCTCATCATCGTCTCCATCCATTTCCTGGTCTCCTCGTCATTCTCTCCGTCCATCTCGTGGTCTCCTCGTCATCCTCTCCGTCCATCTCGTGGTCTCCTCGTCATCCTCTCCGTCCATCTCGTGGTCTCCTCGTCATCTTCGCCGTCCATTTCACCTCGTCATCGTTCATCTCCTCTCCCTTTCTACCTTCGCACTATCCTTCTCTCCCCCTTTCCCCAGCATCGTCAAGTGCATCATCAGCGGGGGTGGCGCCTTCCCCATATTCACCTCCCCTGCGCCGAGCTCCACTGCGGGGCAGTTAACTCTGGTCAACCTCAGCTTCCAGTGGGCGCTGGGAGGCGTCTTTTCCAAGGTGTTGACGCCAGTCAACGCGAGTCAATGCAATTTCGCCCACAACATAGCTGCTGCTGATGCTGGCGGAGGGGTGCTCAGGTAGGGGAGTGGAGTGTTGGGATGGGAGATGAGAGAGTGAGAGGGTGCTCGAGCAAGTGTGTGTGGTGCAGTTGATAGTGTGTGTTTTTAATGCAAGCGAGAGTGTGTAATGCAAGCGAGACTGTGTAATGCAAGCGAGAGTGTGTAATGCAAGCGAGATTGTGTAATGCAAGCGAGAGTGTGTAATGCAAGTGAGTGTGCGTAATGCAAGCGAGAGTGTGTAAGGCAAGCGAGAGTGCGGAATGCAAGTGAGAGTGCGTAATGCAAGAGACAACATCACGATAATGCCCCAACCCTCCCTCTCTCACTCACTCCCTCCCTCCCCTTTTACTGTCTCCCCAACCCAACCCACCAGAGACAACATCACGATAATGCCTGTGCCTCCCAAGCGTCTCTTCACGGACTGCATCTTTTACAACAACTCCTCTCCCGCCCTTGGGGGGGGGGGCGCCGTCAACATGGACGCCCACACCTTCAACGCCACGGGCCTCACTGACCGCGTGCCAGCTCTCACCTTCCTGCGCTGCCGCTTCAAGGACAACAGTTCGCCGAACCACCTGGGCGGGGCGATTAGGGTGGCGGGGACGGCCAGGCTGCGGTTCGAGGAGTGCGTGTTCGATGGGAACAGCGCTGGTGAGTGTGTGTGAGTGTTCAAGGCCTCGGCACCGCCACTGTCAACACATCGTCTCACAAACATCTACCGTACCCTCCCTCCATCACCCCTTCCTCCATTCTCCCCTCCACCCATCCAGGCGTTTCTGGGGGAGCCATCTACGCTATAGACGCCGCCTTCACTTTCGTTAGAGCCACCCTAAACTACAACAAGGCTCTCGGCACCTCCAATCTCAACAGCATCACCTCTGGCGAAGGCGGTGCGGCCTATGCTGCGGCGTCGGGACGAAACTCTGAGGCTGCGGTGCGCTTCTGCTCGTCGACCTTCCAGGCCAACACCGCCAAGTTCACAGACGGCAGCACGCTGTACATGGAGACTGGCTGGGGATCGTCGTGGGCGGCAGTGTTGTCAATTTGCGACGGGAACAAGCCGACTGGCACGGTGGTGCCCACGACTGGATGGAAGCTGGTGACCGGCTGCCCAGCCAGGTGAGGAAGCAGGCTGGCCAGGTAAATGGAGATGAGTGGGTGAGGAGCTGGGGTGGCAGTGCTGTGGGAATGGTGGGATCAGGCTGGCACGTTTGGTGGTACTCATAAATGGGCGGGGGTCAGTACCTCGTGTGGTACTCTGCTCTGTTCACTACCCACACTCAACTTCTCCCTCATTCTACCCCCCACCTTCCCCTTGCATGACTCGTGTTCTTACGGCTCTCCTCATGCTCTCCCATCTCCACTCCCTGTGCTGCTTCCCATGCCTCTCCCGTCTCGCCTCTCTCCCCCTTTTCCTCTGTCCAAGCAGCACCTGTAATGCTTGAGCCCTGCCTGTCACTCTTCTCCCGCAGTCAACTCTTTGGACTCTCAGGCTCCTCACTTTACACACACCAGTAGTCATGCTTCTGAGTCTTGTGATTGTAACGAGTACATACGTAAAGAGCTTTGAATCTTGAATACTGTAACCCGTACTTGATGTACAAAACAAATTTCATAATACCAAGGCCCAACTGCACTAGCAGCAGACTGGGAAGGACACATTGAATAATGCGATCCACTAGAAGAGTGATCAACCAGCAGGAGCTGGAGCAGCCAAACTTATAGATGATTGTTGCCGGGTTTGCAGAGGTGGTGGGGGATAACCGCGAAGCAGGGATGCGAGAGATGGCGGTAAAAGAACACTTCCTGTAACAGTTACAGGTGAAGGCAGTGATGGTGGAGCAGCAGTAGGTGAACCAATTGGTGCTGCCGAGGGAGGCTGAACCACAGGCACTGGTGGAGGTGGTGGTGTGCCTGCAGCAAGGATAAGATAAGGAACTCAGTCTCAATCCACATCAGGAATCATACATCGTACGACAAAGCTTTAAAACTTACCCATACAGCAGGTGTAAGGGTATGTTGGGGCTGATGGAAATTGATCAAACTTCACTCTGTAGCCCAGCTGGTGAGTTAGGTTCCCAGCTCCTTGAGGCAGGGGCCCAAGCCACTGACAAGCATCAATGAAGCTGTACGAGAGAAATGGCTGCGCCTGAGAGATGTTGAGGACATGGCTCCATGGCACCCATCCGCTTGTATTTGTTCCAGGCCCCCAACAGTCGAACTAGAAGTAGGAGCAGGGGTTAACTATGATCCAGAAAAACAAAATTAAAAGTAAAAGAGTATTTTGATGGACGGGTCATTACTTACCATGGCAAAGAAGGTGGTGTTATGTCTGGATACATCACCCCAGTCGTACCAGCCTCCGTTTTGTACAATGTTGCTGATATATGACCAAGCATATACTGTCCTACTCGCATTTCCCCAAGCCCTTCCCAGGTAAACCTGAAACGAACGACCACAAAGCGCAAGTTATTCAGTTGCAGCTACAGTGACACTATGCAGCTCGTCAACCTACTCACCCGACCATTCCCTGTGATAATGCTGCGAACAAATACGAAGCCAGACCGCTTAGTCGTTGTCCTCCTGTACTGCGCTGCCACTGCTCCGCCATTCTTCCTGGCTTTGGCATAGAAAACGCATCCCTGAGGCGAGAGGCATCGTTAGAGTTCAAGGATAGGAGCAATAAACCTCCAATCACCAGGAGAGTTACCTCATATACAGATGTTGCATCGCCAAAGACAAAATCAATATTCCCTTCAATGTAGCAGTCGCGGAAGTAGTGAAGACCCTGCGGAACTCAACAAGAGCTTTCAGAAAACTATATCATTTACAACAAGAAGTTGCACACAAAGGCATCATGCCGAGTGCTTACCTTATGATCATAGAGGGTGTCCTGCCATCCAATGAAACGGCAGCTGTAGAATGCAGCCATCGTGCCGGAAATGCGGAGCGCTACTGCCATAGGACCATTGGCGGTTGCGTTACTAAGCGGCGGTGGTGGAGGCGCTGAGTTCTGTAAGGGGTAAAAGACGTCAGAAAATTTGCAATGGAAAATGCCATCTTGACATATCACAAGCGGAGACGGAAGAAAACTGACTTGAAAAGTGATGTTGACGGCAACGAAGTTGTTGGCTTCAACGCAGACTGAGCAGGACCATAGCGTTCCCAAAACGTATCCGTTGGCCAGCTCTCTCGCAGCGTAGTCATCGTAAGTGATGATTGTTTCTAACGGGTTGGACCCGCGAAGCATTATGCTCACTTTCGACTTCGGGATCAGGACCTTTTCTCTGTGTCACTTGCTCGGTCAAACATCCCCAATGAAAGTTGAAAAATCACAGTGAAAACAGAGAACACACCATACCTATATGTTCCTGGTAGTATATCTATAACTGCGTGCGACGTCGTACTCGTCGAGGACACATAGTCCACTGCGTCTTGCACGGACGTGAAGTTGCCGTTTCCATCGGTTGAGACGACAACACTAGCTGCTGGATAAGCATTCCAGACGTTCTCCGACGACATAACATATTTGTCTTGCAGCAAGGGGGAGTCCCAGATCTCGTAGATCGAAGTCTTTGCTCCATGAGCCAAGCACACTCCTGAAAAACGCGCGACGAGGAGGAATTAAACGCTGCCATTTCCGAAGCAACGAATAAACTTGACGGCTGCCTAATATAATACCACAAAGGACGAGCAGGAAAGACAACATGCTCTCCAGAGTGCGCTGGTTACTAAGTGGCATGACGAGGGTGAGCGGCACGTTTGTACTCGATCGAGCGAAGCAAGGGAGATCGGGACTAAACAACTAGCTCAACTTGAGTTCAATACGACCTCTCAAAGCGGACTATATATAGGACGAGACATTGCATTACGGAACCAGTTTGCTTGAAGGACGAAACGATAAGCTCGAGAGGTCCGTCCATGGAAACTGACGATGCGCTGCCATTTCCCAAGAATCGCACTTTGCCTTATGTTTCTCGAGATGAGCATCGAATCTTAGCAGACATGAGCCTGACTGAAGATTTCAAATTCGGTGACCTGAACTCCATCCAGACTTGTGAAGCTGATGAGTGGCGCGGGGAGAGGGGGGTGATGGCAAATGCGTCATCACCTTCCGCCTGTGCCCGGCCCTTTCCCCCATGTCCTTCCCTCCTGTTCACTGACGGGAAATTCGAACGCAGTGCTGTTGACAGGTTTCGTCTCGGAGCCCAGCGGGGGCGGGGAGGGTTGCGCTAGGGTAGCGAAACAAACCGACCTTTACGAAATAGTGATACTTCGCTTCGAAAGGTAACGCAGAGGTGAGACCATTGCTGCGGCGTGGACTCGTTAAATTAACACGGTTTCATACGGTGACACAGAGTTCAGCTGCGTTTGAGTGCGGCGAGAGGTCCACTACACAAATCCTGGTCTCCATAACCAACTCGCAACGCAATCCTGGCCCAAGTGTTGTCTGGGATGGGAGTGTTGCCCCTCGTGTTTGTGAATGTGCCACCACTCACCGCCGTTCCCTATCCCTTTCTAATTCAGTCCCTTCCGCCTTCCCCCCTTCTCCGTTCCAGGCCCTTTCCGCGTAAGGCGCGGTCTTGACACCAGCTCGTGCTTCCCAAACACCGCCACCCGAGCCAAGCTCTGATACATTTCAGCGATCCGTTGGGACCTCGTGAGAAGCATTCTGCGCCATGCGCGGCGGTGCCAGGTCGTGCCGCCGCGTCTACCGCTGGCTCGTTTTCCGCAACTCGCTCTCCGCCCCGCCTGATCTCCTCCCCGCACTCGCCTCGCGCTCCCTTCCTCTCCCTCCTCCGCTTTTCCCACCGATTACGCTCACCGTCTTTGCGCCGTCTACTAAGCCCGCCTTTGAGACATCGCAAAAACCGACGTCGCGCACCGGCTTTGCCTCTAATACCAATACTGCACCCTATCCGCCCACGTGGATTGCCGAACATGTCAGCAAAAGCAGCGACTACATCCCGGGAGCGACCGGTTTTTATTTCAGGAGCCTCAAAAGCGGCACCTGCGGCGGCGGAGGCGGCGGTTATGATCGGCGGTTCGGCGGAAAGCAGCAGGTGCGCGGATATGCGCAGCAGGCGGGGGGAGGGCGGCCGCGCACGCCAATGGCGGTGCCGTTCCAGGTGACACCTGAGGAGGCCCGGGCTCTGTTGCGAGAGCACCTGACGGGACACCTGCTGGCGCCCGCCATTGCTGACGTGGACTCGTCTGTGACCCTCAGTGCCGTGTTCCAACCGTTCTGGACCTTCACTGCTGATGGTGGGTGCAAGGGTTGGGGGGGGGAAAGCGGGTGTGGTGTGGGGAGACGAGGGGATGGATATGACCGTTTGTGTGTGCGCGCGCGCATCCATGCGTTCATCGGTGTGTCCGCGCGTGCCTGCGTGCATGCGTCTGCACCTGTGCATTTTACTGTACCTATCACGTCGTCGGTGCGCCTTTGCTCACTATTCTCCTCTTCACTCTTTCTTCCTCGCTGCCTGCTCTTCCCATCTCCTCTCCTCTCTTCCTCCTCCCTTCCTCCGAGCACGCACATGCCCATTGGAGCTGGATGCTGGAGAGGCGCCATCTGCCATGCCATGCCATGCCATGCCATGCCATGCCATGCCATGCCATGCCATGCCGTGCCGTGCCGTGCCATGCCATGCCATGCCATGCCATGCCATGCCGTGCCGTGCCGTGCCGTGCCGTGCCGTGCCATGCCATGCCATGCCATGCCGTGCCGTGCCGTGCCGTGCCGTGCCGTGCCGTGCCGTGCCGTGCCGTGCCGTGCCGTGCCGTGGCATCCGTGGCATGCGTGCCGTGCCGTGCCGTGCCGTGCCGTGCCGTGCCGTGCCGTGCCGTGCCGTGCCGTGCCGTGCCGTGCCGTGCCATGCCATGCCATGCCATGCCATGACATGCCATGCCATGCCATGCCATGCCATGCCATGCCATGCCATGCCATGCCATGCCATGCCATGCCATACCATGCCATGCCATGCCATGCCATGCCGTGCCATGCCATGCCGTGCCATGCCATGCCATGCCATGCCATGCCATGCCATGCCATGCCATGCCATGCCGTGCCATGCCATGCCGTGCCACTATGTTGGAAAAGTCGCGCCCAGCGTATTGTACGCAAGCGTATATACGCTTGCGTATAATACGGGATGCGCTGAATGGGTGACTTAGGAATACGTGAAAAACACGCTGCCCGGGCAGGTAAAACTTTTTTCCGGTCAGAATGCACTAGGAACCTCACTAGACGCACTCGCGGGAGTGCCAGTGCCAGTAGGGATCGTCATCGTAGAGCTTAGGGTTTTGTCCTCGATGAGAGAGTTGAGGTAGGCTGGTTGGAGACATTCGTTAGTTGAGCTGCAGTCGCGGGGTAACGGACGGTGCAATACGGTTGTATTGAATGTCCCCTTGCCAAAATTGTGTTGGTGGGGTCGACGAATTGTTCTTGGATGTGCGAACATTTTGGGGCCGCATTTACAGAATTCGTGCGCACAATGTGTGTCGAAACACATTTTCCAATTTCGTGCGCGAACTTTTTCTTTTTATTTTTTGGCCGGGAAGCCCGGATTTTTTCGTACGAATATACGTGCGTATTGCGTACAGCGTATATACGTTTACGTATATACGCTGTACGCTGTCCCTGGCTGGCGACTTTTCCAACATAGCCGTGCCATGCCATGCCGTGCCATGCCATGCCGTGCCATGCCATGCCGTGCCATGCCATGCCGTGCCATGCCGTGCCATGCCATGCCATGCCGTGCCACAGCACCCATCCCCTTCTTGTCACGTTCCCGTCTGCCCACCGTCCCCGTGTGCGCCCACACCAGGGGAAGCATTGCACAGGGCGGATGTGGGGAAGGCGTTATCCGCCATGACAGAGAAGTGAACCCACCCACCCACACTTCCCAAATTGACTCCCCGTTGTCGCCCACCGTATCTTGTGACAAGGGCACAGGGGACAAGTGTACCCTTGATCCCCTGTGCCCTCATATGATAAGTTGATTTTCGGGTCGACTAAAGAATCTACGTATCTTGTACCCCTGATCCCCAGTGCCCTCGTGAGCATGGGCACGTGTGGGGAAGCTGTGGAACCCAAACCCTCTGAGTAATTCACCTTGATATCCTTCACCGTATCTTGTACCCCATATCCCCTGTGCCCTCATGATCATGTGCATGGGCATGGGTATGGGCATGTGCATGTGCATGTGCATGGGCGTGGGTTTGCTCACGGCAGTGGAGGTGGCGTACAGGGCGAATGTGGGGAAGGCGTCATCTGCCTGGTATGGTGGTAGACCCATGCACCCTCGACTAAATCCCCATCCTCCCCCCCATGTGCCCCTTCCTTGAGCGTGCGCTGTGGGTGGGCAGTGGAAGTGGCGTACAGGGAGAATGTGGGGAAAGCGTCATCTGCCATGGTAGTAGTGAGTGAACCCATGCGATCTTGACTGACTCTCCATCCTCCGCCCTGTCCTCCTCTTCCCCCATCTGTCTGTTGTGCGTGCGTGTGCTGTGGGTGGGCAGTGGAGGTGGCGTACAGGGCGAATGTGGGGAAGGCGTCATCTGCCATGGCGTGGAACCCTTACAGCCGGCGATGGGAGCAGGTTGTTAACCAGTGAGGCGGCTAATACAGAGGATAGAGAGGAGGAGATGACTACGTGGCAGGAGGGGATTGGCAAGAGGGTCGGGAGCATGAGGAGCAGTGTGATGGGAGAGAAGGGAGTAGGAAGAGGAGGAAAGAGGGGGAAGGGAAGGGAAGGGAAGGGAAGGGAAGGGAAGGGAAGGGGAGGGGAGGGGAGGGGATTGGAGGGAAGGTCTGGTCGCACCAAATGCTTCACCCGCCACTCTCCTGCTCTGCTCGTGTCCGCTCCATTCGTCTTCCACCCTCTCGTTCCTCCACCCTCTCCCCCTTCCACCCTCTCCCCCTTCCACCCTCTCCCCCTTCCACCCTCTCCCCCTTCCACCCTCTCCCCCTTCCACCCTCTCCCCCTTCCACCCTCTCCCCCTTCCACCCTCTCCCCTTCCACCCTCTCCCCCTTCCACCCTCTCCCCCTTCCACCCTCTCCCCTTCCACCCTCTCCCCCTTCCACCCTCTCCCCCTTCCACCCTCTCCCCCTTCCACCCTCTCCCCCCTTCCACCCTCTCCCCCTTCCACCCTCTCCCCCTTTCCCCCTTCCACCCTCTCCCCCTTCCACCCTCTCCCCCTTCCACCCTCTCCCCCTTCCACCCTCTCCCCCTTCCACCCTCTCCCCCTTCCACCCTCTCCCCCCCCCTTCCACCCTCTCCCCCTTCCACCCTCTCCCCCTTCTCCCCCTTCCACCCTCTCCCCCTTCCACCCTCTCCCCCTTCCACCCTCTCCCCCTTCCACCCTCTCCCCCCTTCCACCCTCTCCCCCTTCCACCCTCTCCCCCTTCCACCCTCTCCCCCTTCCACCCTCTCCCCCTTCCACCCTCTCCCCTTCCCCCTTCCACCCTCTCCCCCCTTCCACCCTCTCCCCCTTCCACCCTCTCCCCCTTCCACCCTCTCCCCCTTCCACCCTCTCCCCCTTCCACCCTCTCCCCCTTCCACCCTCTCCCCCTTCCACCCTCTCCCCCTTCCACCCTCTCCCCCTTCCACCCTCTCCCCCCTTCCACCCTCTCCCCCTTCCACCCTCTCCCCCCTTCCACCCTCTCCCCCTTCCACCCTCTCCCCCTTCCACCCTCTCCCCCTTCCACCCTCTCCCCCTTCCACCCTCTCTCCCCTTCCACCCTCTCCCCCTTCCACCCTCTCCCCCTTCCACCCTCTCCCCCCTTCCACCCTCTCCCCCTTCCACCCTCTCCCCCTTCCACCCTCTCCCCCTTCCACCCTCTCCCCCTTCCACCCTCCCCCCTCTCCCCTCCCCCTTCCACCCTCTCCCCCTTCCACCCTCTCCCCCCCTTCCACCCTCTCCCCCTTCCACCCTCTCCCCCTTCCACCACCCTCTCCCCCCTTCCACCCTCTCCCCCTTCCACCCTCTCCCCCTTCCACCCTCTCCCCCTTCCACCCTCTCCCCCCTTCCACCCTCTCCCCCTTCCACCCTCTCCCCCTTCCACCCTCTCCCCCTTCCACCCTCTCCCCCTTCCACCCTCTCCCCTCCACCCTCTCCCCCTTCCACCCTCTCCCCCTTCCACCCTCTCTACCATCCTCCATCTCTTTCCTCACCCCCACCCTCTCTGCCCTCCGCCCTCTCTCCCCCACCCTGTCTCCCTTCCACACGCTCTTCTCTTCCACCCTCTGTTCCCTCTACCTTCTCTCTCCGTCCCTCCAAGTACCACCTGCACAACACAACACACCGCTTTGCCATGCTCTCCTCCACCCTGTCTCCCTTCCACACGCTCTTTCCTCCGCCTTCCATCCCCTCCACCCACTCTCCCTTCCACTCTCTGTTTCTCTCTCCTTCCCTCCTTCAACTACCACACACTGCTTGCTTTGCCATGCTCTCCTCTCGTTGCTCTTGGCTTTGGTGCCCCTTCCTTTGTTCCACCCGCCCTCTTTTTCCCATCCCGCCTCTCCTGCCCTCAACTCCACCCGGTCTCTTCTCCTCCGTGCTTCCCCCCTTCCCCCCATTTCCTTCCTTAATTCCGCTCTCTAGCACATCTTTCTCACAGCCTCCTCCTTTTCTCCCCTCCCCTTCCCGGTCTCCCCCCTCCCCTTCCCAGTCTCCCCCCCCCCCCCTCCCCCTCCCCCTCCCCCTCCCCCTCCCCCTTCCCCACTCCCCCCACCAGCACCGCCACACCGCATGGCAGGCCACCCCATGGCTCTCTCGCCCTTATAGTTTTCCCTTCCCTCTTTCCGTCTCCCCTCAACCTCCCCCTCCTCCCTTCCCCACTCCCCCCACCAGCATCGCCACACAGTGTGGCAGGCTACCCCATGGCTCTCTCGTGTATCATTCTTGTGTCTTCCCCCTCCCCCTCTTCCTTCCCCTCTCCCCTCCCTCCCCTCTCCACTCCCCCCACCAGCATCGCCACACAGCATGGCAGGCCACCCCGTGGCTCTCTCGCCCGTTCTTCCCCGCTCACTCCTTCTTCCCCCACTCTTCTCCCTCTCCTCCCCCTTTCCCCCTCCCACCCACCAGCATCGCCACACAGTGTGGCAGGCCACCCCGTGGCTCTTTCATGCCTCCCTCTCTCCCTCTCTCCCTGTCCACATCTCCCCCTTCCCCCTCTCTCCCTTCCCCCCACCAGCATCGCCACACAGTGTGGCAGGCCACCCCGTGGCTATCTCGCCCGCTGCAAGCTCCCTCCACCGACCCACTCATGCAGCTCTACGCTGCCACCAGGTGCAGTGCGGTGCAGAGTGATGATGATACATTACATACATGGTGTATAGCTTCAGAGCCATCAGGCACCTTTCTCCTCTGGCCTTTCGATTCCCGCCTTCACTCTGCTTAACTACCGATTCCCTTGCATTGTCCAGTTTCATCAAATCTCATCCTTTCCTCTTTCCTCTCTTTTCGTCCCTATTTTTCCTCCCTCGTTTTCCGTCCCTCTCTTCCACCTCCCCCCTTCCCCTCCCCCACACGCCCTCTCTCTGTTCCCTCCGCGTCCATTCCCCGCCTGTCTCACTTTGCCTCTTATCGGCCACCAACCCCACTACTTGCATCCCTCTTCTCCCCTTCCTCTCCTCTTCCCTTCCCTCCCCTCATCTTCCTTTCCCTCCCCTAATCGTCCTTTCCCTCCCCTCATCCTCCTTTCCCTCCCCTCATCTTCCCTTCCCTCCCAACTCTCCCTTGTCTTTTCCCCATCTGCCCTGCAGTCTTGCGCAAGTGCTGGCCATCACACACCAACATCTCTCAACCACCCCCCCCCCCCTTCCCTTTCTCACTTCCCCTCTCTTCCCTCTCCACTCCCCACTTCCTCGCTCCAGCCTCCCCCGCTCCCTGGCGCAGGTGCTAGCTGGCGATGTAATCAAGCATGCGATCCCGCTGACCGATCGCATGCTGACACCTGACAGACAGCTGGAGCTCTTCACCGTCTCCAGGTGGGCAGACCGCAGACAGGTGGTGCATGCAAGCCATCTGCTGAGCTGGCATGCCATGTGCTGAGCTGGCATGCCATTTGCTGAGCTGGCATGCCATTTGCTGAGCTGGCATGCCATGGGACTCAAGGTACACATGACCCTTTCGAAGCCCCTTAGATTGCACCATGCATACACACGTGACATGCAGTGTTCTGCTGCCCATAGCTTATAACGTGTGCATGGCATTTGACGTGTGCATGGCATTTGACGTGTGCATGGCATATATGACGTGTGCATGGCATTTGACGTGTGCATGGCATATATGACGTGTGCATGGCATTTGACGTGTGCATGGCATATGACGTGTGCATGGCATTTGACGTGTGCATGGCATTTGACGTGTGCATGGCATTTGACGTGTGCATGGCATTTGACGTGTGCATGGCATTTGACGTGTGCATGGCATTTGACGTGTGCATGGCATTTGACGTGTGCATGGCATTTGACGTGTGCATGGCATATATGACGTGTGCATGGCATTTGACGTGTGCATGGCATATATGACGTGTGCATGGCATTTGACGTGTGCATGGCATATGACGTGTGCATGGCATTTGACGTGTGCATGGCATTTGACGTGTGCATGGCATTTGACGTGTGCATGGCATTTGACGTGTGCATGGCATTTGACGTGTGCATGGCATTTGACGTGTGCATGGCATTTGACGTGTGCATGGCATTTGACGTGTGCATGGCATTTGGCGTGTGCATGGCATTTGGCGTGTGCATGGCATATGACGTGTGCATGGCATTTGACGTGTGCATGGCATTTGACGTGTGCATGGCATTTGACGTGTGCATGGCATTTGACGTGTGCATGGCATTTGACGTGTGCATGGCATTTGACGTGTGCATGGCATTTGACGTGTGCATGGCATTTGACGTGTGCATGGCATTTGACGTGTGCATGGCATTTGACGTGTGCATGGCATTTGACGTGTGCATGGCATTTGACGTGTGCATGGCATTTGACGTGTGCATGGCATTTGACGTGTGCATGGCGTTTGACGTGTGCATGGCATTTGACGTGTGCATGGCATTTGACGTGTGCATGGCATTTGACGTGTGCATGGCATTTGACGTGTGCATGGCGTTTGACGTGTGCATGGCGTTTGACGTGTGCATGGCGTTTGACGTGCGCATGGCATTTGACGTGTGCATGGCATTTGACGTGTGCATGGCATTTGACGTGTGCATGGCATTTGACGTGTGCATGGCATTTGACGTGTGCATGGCATTTGACGTGTGCATGGCATTTGACGTGTGCATGGCATTTGACGTGTGCATGGCATTTGACGTGTGCATGGCATTTGACGTGTGCATGGCATTTGACGTGTGCATGGCATTTGACGCGTGCATGGCATTTGACGCGTGCATGGCATTTGCCGCGTGCATGGCATTTGACGCGTGCATGGCATTTGACGCGTGCATGGCATTTGACGTGTGCATGGCATTTGACGTGTGCATGGCATTTGACGTGTGCATGGCATTTGACGTGTGCATGGCATTTGACGTGTGCATGGCGTATGACGTGTGCATGGCGTATGATGTGTGCATGGCGTATGATGTGTGCATGGCATATGATGTGTGCATGGCATATGATGTGTGCATGGCATATGATGTGTGCATGGCATATGATGTGTGCATGGCATATGATGTGTGCATGGCATATGATGTGTGCATGGCATATGATGTGTGCATGGCATATGTATCCATGTGTGCAATACAGGGAGCGGGCTTGGGCGGTGGTGAAGCAGCGGTGGATCAAGCACCTCAAGACAGAGCTCACCACCCACCTCAAATGGGTACGCCCTCCCTTCTCTGCACTTTGCTTTCCTCTCTCTGCTTTCCTTCTCTGCTCTCTGCTTTCCTTCTCTGCTCTCTGCTTTCCTTCTCTGCTCTCTGCTTTCCTTCTCTGCTCTCTGCTTTCCTTCTCTGCTCTCTGCTTTCCTTCTCTGCTCTCTGCTTTCCTTCTCTGCTCTCTGCTTTCCTTCTCTGCTCTCTGCTTTCCTTCTCTGCTCTCTGCTTTCCTTCTCTGCTCTCTGCTTTCCTTCTCTGCTCTCTGCTTTCCTTCTCTGCTCTCTGCTTTCCTTCTCTGCTCTCTGCTTTCCTTCTCTGCTCTCTGCTTTCCTTCTCTGCTCTCTGCTTTCCTTCTCTGCTCTCTGCTTTCCTTCTCTGCTCTCTGCTTTCCTTCTCTGCTCTCTGCTTTCCTTTTCTGCTCTCTGCTTTCCTTTTCTGCTCTCTGCTTTCCTTTTCTGCTCTCTGCTTTCCTTTTCTGCTCTCTGCTTTCCTTCTCTGCTCTCTGCTTTCCTTCTCTGCTCTCTGCTTTCCTTCTCTGCTCTCTGCTTTCCTTCTCTGCTCTCTGCTTTCCTTTTCTGCTCTCTGCTTTCCTTCTCTGCTCTCTGCTTTCCTTCTCTGCTCTCTGCTTTCCTTCTCTGCTCTCTGCTTTCCTTCTCTGCTCTCTGCTTTCCTTCTCAGCTCTCTGCTTTCCTTCTCTGCTCTCTGCTTTCCTTTTCTGCTCTCTGCTTTCCTTTTCTGCTCTCTGCTTTCCTTCTCTGCTCTCTGCTTTCCTTCTCTGCTCTCTGCTTTCCTTTTCTGCTCTCTGCTTTCCTTTTCTGCTCTCTGCTTTCCTTCTCTGCTCTCTGCTTTCCTTCTCTGCTCTCTGCTTTCCTTCTCTGCTCTCTGCTTTCCTTTTCTGCTCTCTGCTTTCCTTTTCTGCTCTCTGCTTTCCTTTTCTGCTCTCTGCTTTCCTTTTCTGCTCTCTGCTTTCCTTCTCTGCTCTCTGCTTTCCTTCTCTGCTCTCTGCTTTCCTTCTCTGCTCTCTGCTTTCCTTCTCTGCTCTCTGCTTTCCTTTTCTGCTCTCTGCTTTCCTTTTCTGCTCTCTGCTTTCCTTCTCTGCTCTCTGCTTTCCTTCTCTGCTCTCTGCTTTCCTTCTCTGCTCTCTGCTTTCCTTCTCTGCTCTCTGCTTTCCTTTTCTGCTCTCTGCTTTCCTTCTCTGCTCTGGGCTAGCCTCGCCCCCCCCTCTGTGATGTGCCCTGCCTTGCGCTGCTTGCCTTTCTCTGGCTTGCCCGCCCAAGCATGATGCTTTTTATGCACGAGCCCCATGTAGTGCACGAGCCCCATGCCATGCGATAGCATGTCAAACCACGCTATTCCATGTGCTGCCATGCTGTGCTGTGATATCTCATGTATGTCTACCATCTGACATCACATTTACTCCTTCTCATGACCTAATCACCGTGCTCTCAAATCGTCTTGTGATTCCAACAGTCAGTGTGCGCGCCTGTTTCCTCAGTATGTACTTGGCCAGTATATTCCAAGACATCCCCTACCCTGCCCGCTCACATGCACCCAGCCAATCCCCCCTGCCCAATCCTTCCTGCCCAATCCCCCCTGCCCAATCCCCCCTGCCCAATCCCCCCTGCCCAATCCCCCCTGCCCAATCCCCCCTGCCCAATCCCCCCTGCCCAATCCCCCCTGCCCAATCCCCCCTGCCCAATCCCCCCTGCCCAATCCCCCCTGCCCAATCCCCCCTGCCCACTCGCCCCTACCCACTCGCCCCTGCCCACTCGCCCCTACCAGCGCTATGAAGCGGAGCAGAAGCCGGACCTGGACATCCATCTCACCGTGCACTCCGCCATCCACCACCCACACCCCCCCTCCCTCCCACCCACCTCCCCCTCCCCCCAATTCCCCGCCCCTACCAGCGCTATGAAGCGGAGCAGGTGTCGGACCTGGACATTCACCTCACCGTGCACTCCGTGTCCGCCAAGGTGCCGCTCTCGCCCTTGCCCTCTCCCTGTTGCCCTCTCCCTGTTGCCCTCTCGCCCTTGCCCCTCATCCCTTACCCTCTCAACCTGCTCCTACTGACCTGGACATTCACCTCACCGTGCACTCCGTGTCCGCCAAGGTGCGCTCTCGCCCTTGCCCTCTCCCTGTTGCCCTCTCCCTGTTGCCCTCTCGCCCTTGCCCCTCATCCCTTACCCTCTCAACCTGCTCCTACTGACCTGGACATTCATCTCACCGTGCACTCCGTGTCCGCCAAGGTGCGCTCTCGCCCTTGCCCTCTCCCTGTTGCCCTCTCCCTGTTGCCCTCTCGCCCTTGCCCCTCATCCCTTACCCTCTCAACCTGCTCCTACTGACCTGGACATTCATCTCACCGTGCACTCCGTGTCCGCCAAGGTGCGCTCTCGCCCTTGCTCCCGTCCTCACTCACCTCGTCTTCTGGTTAGGAGGTGACTTCTGAGTAGGCTCAAAAGTCACTCCATGTCCGCTAAGGTGCGCTCTCGCGTTTGCTCCCACAATTACTCACCTCGCTGTTCCAGTTACACCCCCTGCTCACTGGTCATCCTCTTCATTGTCGTTATGCTGCCCCATCCCTGTGTTAGTTCTTTCAGTTGACTTCACAGTCAGTCAGTCGGGTGCTTTCCCCTTCTATCTGTTGCATCTGCTTGACTTTGCCTTGACCTTATAAACCCGTTGCAATCTCTCATTGGCTCTGCTGCCACCCGTGCCAAGCAGAGCAGCCCATCTTCCTGCCATCCTATGTGGCATCCTACTATCACGACAGCTGGCGACACACGGCCGTCATCGCTGCCACGTCAGCACCATCCTCCGCGCCAGCTGTCGCCGCGGACCGCCTCTTCTCCCAGCCCAAATCCACGCTGGCAGCAGCGGCCGCACTGACAGCTGGCGCCGCGCTACTGGACTTTGTTCTCCTGGGGGGCGGCGTGCCTTGGCTTTTCCACCCGGCGTCGACCGCTTGGTGGATGACAGTTGGCGCGCTCTCATTGGCCGCGGGGTGGCTTGCCAGGGTGTCGCCTCGGCTCGCTGTAATTCGTCGGGGCGTGCAGCATGCCAGGGAGGTGGCTGAGGTGGCAACAGGAGGGGGGCTGTGGGGGGAAGGAGGAGGGATGGAGGAGGAGGTGGGGGAGGAGGAGGGGGGTGAGTTTGGCAGAGCAGAGAGGGGAGAGTCAAGGGGGCGAGGGGCAGGAGGGGGTGAAAGGCGCGAGAGTCCATTTGGAAACCCGTTTGATGGATTTCCAGGGTAAGTTGACAAATCACTTGTTCCAGGTGAGGCACATGGGAATCAAGGGGCGAAGGCAGTATGGCCGGAAGGACAGCGGCAGCAGGATAGGATGGGAAGCGTGTGTTGCAGAGCTTGCTCTTCCTGTCTCTTTCTTCCCTACGCCAGCACGAGAGCATCAGTTTCTGCAACCCACAATGTGCTCTCCACCCGCCTCACGCCTGCCGCATGCCTGCCACACGCCCGCCTCAGACCAATCGCACCAAGTCTTGCTCGTACACGCCAACCCCATTCTCTGTGCATGGCCTCTTACCCCATGTTGCCACACTTGCCCATCATCAAGTCTCCTCTGCTCCCCATTGTCTCAATCCACGTGATTTCTCTTCCTATCTTCTGATGCACACTTGCCATCTCAACTCCCTATTTGACATCTCTGCCATGTTCTCTCCCAAACTCAATCCCACAACCACACTTCTTTCTAACCCCTTGCTCTCACTTCTATCACGTCGCACCCTCTTTCCGAACCTGCTCCACAGGTTCGGCAACTTCCGGGTTTTCCGCCGAGCCTTCGTCAGTCCGGAGGACGTGTGGAGGGAGTTTGAGCGCATGGCTCGGGGAGGAGCCTCGTCCTGGCCTGGTGGCAGCTTCGGCAGCAGCAGCTACCAACGCACCCAGCAACAGCAGCAACAGCAGCAGCAACAGCAGCAGCAGCAGCAGCAGCAGGATAGGAGGCAGCAGCAGTGGCAGCAGCAATGGGAGCAGCAGTGGCAGCAGCAGTACGGGCGGCAGCAGCAACAGCAGCGGCAGCAGCAGCAGCAGCAGCAAGGGTCAAGGCAGACAAGGTCAGGGTGGACAAGTTCAGACCCCAAGGGCTACTACGCTGCGCTGGGGCTGGCTGGTAAAGGGCGGCAGGCGAGTCAGCAGGAGATCAAATCTGCGTTCCGCCAGCTGGCGATGGAGACGCACCCCGACAGGCAGCCCGACGAGGGGAAGAGGCGGGCGGCGGAGGAGCGGTTCAAGCGGATTGCAGAGGCGTATGAGGTGCTCAGGGACCCTTCCAAGCGCAGTGCGTATGACAGTGGTGGGATGTGAGGTGATGGTATGTGTGAGGAGTGAGGAGTATGAGGGATGGTGTGGGTGGAGTGCGACGGCCGTGCAATGTGGAGTGTGAGGTGTGACAGGAGCAGGCAGACGAGGGGAAGAAGCGGGCGGCGGAGGAGCGGTTCGAGAGGATTGCAGAGGCGTATGAGGTGCTCAGGGATCCCAGCAATGATGGTGGTGCTCTGTGAGGTGTGAGGTGTGAGGAGTGAGGTGTGGGGTGCGATGGCAGTGCAATGGAGTGTGAGATGGGACAGCAGCTTGCAGAAAATGGGAGAAGGCGGGTGGCGGAGGAGGAGCGGTTCAAGAGGACAGCAGGATCCAAGCAAGTGCAATGCTTATGACAGCAGTACGCTGTGAGGTGTGAAGTGAGGTGCGGGTTGGTGATGTGTGGGGTGCGACAGCCAGCAATGTGGAGTGCAAGCGGGGTGTGAGGCGTGACAGCAGCATGCAGACGAGGGGAGGGAGGAGGAGGGCGGCAGAGGAGTGGCTCAAATGGGGCTGTGGAGGCATATGAGGTGCTTCTCTGATGGCAGTGCACTGCGCGATGTGTCTCGAGTTGTGAGCCGTGAGCTGCGAGCTGAGCTGTTCCTGCAAAAGTGACAGCAGTGAGCAGAGTGCGACTCGTTGAGATGCGCATGGAAAGCAGCAGGATAGTACAACAGGAGACTGGAGACTGGCAGTGTGTATCGAGTCCCTCCCTACTACCAGGGCCCTCAGGTTGAAATCTTGAAAAATTGGTGAGTGAGTTATCTTGACCAACGTTGCAATGACAATCTCGTCGTGCCGTGGGGTGCAGAAGTGTATTCTCGCCACAGCAGCATCCGTGCAATGCATCAGCCAATGTCAACCAACCGAATGACATTTGTTTCTTTAGCCTGTCTTTTGGTAGAATTATCAAAATTAGCTACAGAACTTCCTACCACTGCTATTTGACTGATGCTGCTAGTGGAGTCACATGGAGGGGGATTAGGACGAGGTTTGAGTCGAATCAAAGGCGCACCCAACTGAGGGTCCTTGAGAAGTGCTACAATTTTGTATTCCGCTAATGGAGCCACCTGGATGGGGGTTTGGAGGGTTCTGGTTCAATTCAAAGGTCGTGTGGGGTGACTACATGAGGGCCCTTGATGGCTGGCAGGCACAGTGCTGTATGCTACTAAGTGGCGCCACCTGGGAGGGGGTTTGAGGGGGGCGTTGAGGTTATATGGTCCGGGCACGTGAGGGCAAGACAAGGTGAGTGGCATCACCTTTGCCACACTACACATCAAGTCAACTTTCGAGGCGAGATTAGGGTTGGATACTTGGGACGCATAATTGCAGGTGGAGGCAGGGATGTGATGCAACGAGTAAGGGAAATGAGGGGCGGAGTGCAGTTTCGGAATGGGGCGAAGGAAGTGGGAGGGATGGCACGCAACATGCATGCACAAAGCACCTCCCAGCACCTCACACCACACAGTCTCTTCGTACCCAGTTTTTCAGGTTGATCTGACTGTCCTCTGTGACATGGATGGGCTTGCGTGCCGTGATGACCACCAGCACCAGCATGCCGAAGCTGCCACAAAATGGCATGGAAAGGGGCAATGATGAGATATGTGGAATGTGATGAGCTATGTGGTATGTGATGAGATATGTGGTATGTGATGAGATATGTGGTATGTGATGAGATATGTGGAATGTGATGAGCTATGTGGTATGTGATGAGATATGTGGTATGTGATGAGATATGTGGTATGTGATGAGATATGTGGAATGTGATGAGCTATGTGGTATGTGATGAGATATGTGGTATGTGATGAGATATGTGGTATGTGATGAGATATGTGGTATGTGATGAGATATGTGGAATGTGATGAGCTATGTGGTATGTGATGAGATATGTGGTATGTGATGAGATATGTGGTATGTGATGAGATATGTGGAATGTGATGAGCTATGTGGTATGTGATGAGATATGTGGTATGTGATGAGATATGTGGTATGTGATGAGATATGTGGTATGTGATGAGCTATGTGGTATATGATGAGATCTGTGGTACGTGATGAGATATGTGGTATGTGATGAGCTAAGTGGTATGTGATGAGCTATGTGGTATATGACGAGATATGTGGTAAGTGATGAGTTATGTGGTATGTGATGAGATATGTGGTATGGGATGAGCTATGTGGTATATGATGAGATATGTGGTATGTGATGAGCTATGTGGTATATGATGAGATATGTGGTATGTGATGAGATATGTGGTATGTGATGAGCTAAGTGGTATGTGATGAGCTATGTGGTATATGATGAGATATGTGGTAAGTGATGAGTTATGTGGTATGTGATGAGATATGTGGTATGTGATGAGCTATGTGGTATATGATGAGATATGTGGTATGTGATGAGATATGTGGTATGGGATGAGCTATGTGGTATATGATGAGGTATGTGGTATGTGATGAGCTATGTGGTATGTGATGAGCTATGTGGTATGTGATGAGCTATGTGGTATGTGATGAGCTATGTGGTATCTGATGAGATATGTGGTAAGTGATGAGTTATATGGTATGTGATGAGATATGTGGTATGGGATGAGATATGTGGTATATGATGAGATATGTGGTATGTGATGAGCTATGTGGTATGTGATGAGCTATGTGGTATGTGATGAGATATGTGGTATGTGATGAGATATGTGGTATGTGATGAGCTATGTGGTATGTGATGAGCTATGTGGTATGTGATGAGCTATGTGGTATGTGATGAGCTATGTGGTATATGATGAGATATGTGGTATGTGATGAGATATGTGGTATGTGATGAGATATGTGGTATATGACGAGTTATGTGGTATGTGATGAGAAATGTGGTATGTGATGAGATATGTGGTATGTGATGAGATATGTGGTATGTGATGAGATATGTGTGGTATGGGATGGACCCTGAAAATGATCCTGACTGCATGGTATGAAAGGCCCCCGTCTAAATAGCTCTGGTGTGGAAGGTGAGTGAAGAGTTTGCACTACATGAACAGGACAGCCTGCCATGAGCGCGCTCTCTCAGACCTCACCTATGCACGCCTGCTGCAGAAGTGTGAGACATGTAGTAAAGGAGGGTCCACATAGCCCGGTGCGCACTGCACCACTCTGTACCACTGTGTACAGCACTGTACCTGTGCACGTCGGCGGCAGGAGTGGCCTTGTGCGACATGTAGTAAGCGGGGTCCACATAGCCCGGTGTGCCCATCACTCGAGTGGCTGCCACTGAAGTGCCCTCCCCAAGCCTCAGCAGCCCAAAGTCCGCCACCTTAGCCTGCACACGTTACGGTTATGTTCGGGATTTTTCTCATTGAATGTTGGAGATCAACCCACTGAGTTGAGTGTTCAGCTGGTCATGGCTAGGTGATGGATAATTGGGTTAGGGAAATCGAAGTGACAGAAGCGCTCTTGCAAGCGAGACTGACCAATCCTGCTGCCTTCACCCCAAATACATCAACTGTTTCTCACGGTCTCTCTTAACTGAATTCTCACAGTCACAATCTCCTCATTGCAGACCTCCAGCACATGTGCTATCAGGGAGAACTCAAATATAGATCAGGATCCACATAACCCATGAATTCACATAAGTCAAGGAGCCTAGCTAGCTTCAACGTTAAATAAAAGCCAATCAAGATGACAGTAACAAGCCATGCATTTGTCTTGAACAATTTTTAAGGCGTCTAAGGAGTGAGTACCTGCATGCTGGCGTCCAGGAGCACGATGCCAAAGTCATGCAGGTACTGCAACCCCTCTCATGCGCCTCTCATCACAAGCACTGCCTTACATTCATCTTGCTGTCCAGGAGCACGTTGGCTGGTTTGACGTCGCGATGCACGATGCCAAAGTCATGCAGGTACTGCAACCCCTTGCCCACCCCTATGAGGATCTCCAGGCGCTGCACCAGAGAGAGAGGCTTGGAGGCACCTGCACGAGGAAACAACAAAATCAATCAAAACGAGAGAAAGGCATATTTTCCACGTGTGTAAAATACCAACGGTGGCTAAGCTTCCAAGCTGTGTCGAGGTAATAGGGAGTACCCTTGTGGTCCAATCCACGTCATCACCTGGCCCAAACCAAGTCATCACTGACTCCAGGTCGCCATTCTCCATGAAATTGTAGACCAAGATCTGCTCCATGTGCCCCGCCACCGCAACATAGTCCTTTAAAAACTGACTCTTGAGCTGACTGAAAAGCCAGCTCGTTAAAATGGCAGACGGCATTCTTTGAGCCGACTCAGTCATCACCTGGTCCAAACCAAACCACGCCTCCAGGTCGCCATTCTCCATGAATACCCAGAAACAACCGTGTAAGTCCAAACCGTGTGATTACCTGGTCCAAGCCCTGTGCTACAAACACTTACCTGGTCCAAACAGTGCGATTACCCAGTCCAAACCATGTGACTACCCAGTCAAAACCATGGCACTTTCCGGACCAAACCATGTGATTACCATGTCCTAACCATATATCATCACCTCATCCAATCCAGGCCTCAAGGTAGCCGCTTTCCATACACCAAGATCCGCTCCATGTGCCCCGTCGCATCACAATCCTTGCAGATTGACTTTTGAGTCAACTCAAAGGTCACCTAGTTACAATGGCACACGACACTGTTCCAGCCGACTCAATCATCACGTCACCTGGTCCGATCCATGCCTCCAGGTCGCCATTCTCCATGACCTCGTACACCAGGATCTGCTCCATGTGCCCCTTCATCGCATCATAGTCCTTTCAAAGTCCCAACTGCCGCACTAGGTGGTTCTTTGTGATTGCCTAGTCCAGACCCTGTGGTCACCTGGTCCAAGCCACATCCTCACCTGGTCCAATCCACGCCTCCAGGTCGCCGTTCTCCATGAACTCATACACCAGGATCTGCTCCATGTGCCCCGTCGCTGCATCATAGTCCTTGCAGAAGCCCAGCAGCCGCACCAGATGCAGGTGGTTCTTTGTCGCCATCTCACGCACCTGCCACGGGAGACAGGTGATTCATTGGCACACACACGGGAAACTCAAGTTAGGCCTACTCTTGAGGCGCCTCAAAAGCAGCTGGACCAGATTGATGGTGCTTCGTGGCCATCTCACGCACCTGCCATGACATGTGATCTTGATCGGCATACAGAAATAGAGACTTCGGTGAACAGGGAGAAACACGGCTAAGAGACTGAGCAATTGCTTGTGAATTAGTGAAGCAACGCAGGGTAGTGATACGCAGGAAACGATTCATGGGACGCTCGCAGGCACAGAAGTGAAGCCATGACAACAGACAAAGGCACAATTTGTTTGTTAGAGGAACAGCATGTACAAATGCTACACATACACTTGTTTCGGTCCAAACAATAAAACAAGCTGGCTTCAAGCACAGACGTGCATACCTCCCTATGGAAGTCGTTCGTTAGGACTCTGCCTCGCTTCACAGCCCACAGCTCATTCGGATTGTATGGCGACACTCCCTTGTACACATCTCCAAAGCTGCCACTCCCAATCTTGTTGCCCTCCGCCCATTGGTTCGTTGCTCGTGCCAGCTCATCCAGTGAATACTCCCGACACACATTGCCCCACGCAGGTTCAACTGCTACCACATGTGCTCC